GCGGGTACTATATGTATCTGGTGGAGTCCTTGGTAAAGGATGTGATTGTCTAACCTCAGTGTTGTATACCTAAAACCAATACAAAATAATATTGAGTGTAAACTGTAATTGAAAATCTTATGCTACACAAAATAATAAACTAAAAATGAGTTAAAGATATAAAAGTTAGACTCAAAACCATAAAAATCCTAGAAGAAACTATAGGCAGTCAAATCTCGGATATTCCTTGTAGCAACACTTTTTCTGATATATCTCTTCAAGCAAGGGAAAGAAAAGAAAAAAATAAATGGGACTACATCAAACTAAACAGTTTTTGCACAGCAAAAGAAACAATCAACAAAATGAAAAAATCCACTGAATGGGAGAACATATTTACTGATACATTGGATAAGGGGTTAGTATCCAAAATTATTAAAGACCTTTTAAAACTCAACACCAAAAAACACCAAAAATCCTTTTAAAAAATGGGCGAAGGACTTGAATAGACATTTCTCTGAAGAGAACATACAGATGTCCAACAGATACATGAAAAGTTGCTCAAAGTCACTTATCATCAGAGAAATGGAAATTAAAACCACAATGAGATATCACATAACATCTGTCAGGATGGCTATCATCAGTAAATCAACTAACAGCAAATATTGGCAAGGATATGGAGCAAGGGGATCCCAAATGCACTGTTGGTGGAAATATAAATTGATGCAGCCACTGTGGAAAGCAGTATGGAGTTATCTCAAAAAATTAAAAATGGAACTGCCTTATCTCTCAGAGATTCCACTTCTGGGAATATATCTGAAGAAACCCAAAACACTAATTTGAAATAATGTAAGCACCCCTGTATTTCATTGCAGTGTTATTTACAATAGCCAAAATTTGGGAACAGCCCAACTGTCCATTGGTAAATGAATGGATAAAATAATTATGGTAAAATTGCACACTGGAATACTACTTAGCCATAAAAAGAAAGAACATTTAACCATTTGCGAGAGCATGGATGGACCTGGAGAACATTATGCTAAGTGACCTAAGGCAGTCAGAAAAAGGCAAATATAAGGTTTCACTTATATGTGGACTCTAATGAGCAAACTGCACTAACAAGCAATATAGAAATAGACTCATAGACGGAGAGCCAGGAGTACAGCTCTGGGAGAGGATTTGGGGAGAGGTTGAGGGATCGAGCAAAAAAGAAAAAGAACCCAAAGCATGGACAACAGTGAGGTGATTACGGAAGGTGAGGAGGTGGGTGGAGGTGAAAATGTTATGAAGGGATAACTGGTAAATAAAAAGTAAATTAGTAAATTAAATGATCGATTCAAAAAGAAAATGAAATAGTAATATAAAATTTGGATTTTATCCAAAAAACATTAAAATAAAATGGAATTGATATATCCATACATATAGTTCTGTGTGTGTTGTATTTTATGATAAATGCATAAAGAATTTACCATATTTTGCCATGTATAATGCATACCCACATTTTTGGCCCAAACTTTCAGGAAAGAAAATCGTTCATTTTAATTTATCAACTCAATGATTTATTTTTATTTAGAAACTAAACCAATTATCATATTGCAGGGTATTATTTTGCATATAGATGTCATTGCTTCCTAGCATTACACTTTTAACACATACATATAAATAAAAGAATTCAAAGGATTTATATAGATACAGAATTAGTACTTACCATGTAAAATGTACACCCTTGTTTTTCCCTCAAAAATATGAGCAAAAAAAGTGTGTGTTATACATAGAAAAATACTTTAATGCTCAATAACTATTCTTAGTATTTTAAAATTACTCAGTTAAATGTTACTCAGTTTCAAGTGAGTTTTTGATTATCCCGTTCACTCTTGAAATACAAGCATTCAACAGAAGAAAAGAAAGTTAAGGTCAACAGTGTTAGAATTAAGTTAATATGAGTATTTGATTGAAAGTATATTGACTAGAACTGGCTTGATGTGAGTTAAACACTTTTCATAATCATAATCATAATAAAGCTAACTATAACATTTTGAATATTTTACAAATCATAATATAATCCTTTAAAACTTCAAATGCACAGAAATATGTAAGACAGACATTAGGATAAAAACTCATAAAAAGAATGTAGAAAGAGATAAACTATAGACACACTCTAGAAACCTGAACTTTCCAAGGTTATGAACATGGATTCATGTGGTCACTTTCAGCATTCTCCTGATATGATTGGCCACCACTAAAACATTAAGGGAAGACAGAAAGAAACCTGTAGACTCTTATAACTCTATGACCATTTTCCACTTGTCTCGTAGATTATTGTACGTGAGAGTAGGCATGGCACTGAGAAGAATGAAATAAAAGATTGGTATATTCTTTTAGCCTTTAGTTCTACAAACAGCTCTGGAGTTGCCTTTTTGAGTTCTTTTCTGACCCTCCCTCCATTTTGCCATGTGGCATTTAAAATACCACATTGTGTTTCCATATTTCTCACTTTTGCAAAGTGAGAGACTCACTATGAAGTTAGAGACTACAAAGATACAGGCATAGTCAAGGAGTTGAGGAGTTTTTTGCAGGAGTTTTTTACAGACCAGTTTTTCACACAATTTACTGAAACTCATCAAAGGCACTCAGTTTTGCCAGTGTTACCTCAGACAAGGGTTTGGTCTCCAAAATATATAAAGAATTCACACGACTCCACACCAGGAAGACAAACAATCCAATGAAAAAATCGGCAAAGGACCTGAACAGACACTTCTCCAAGGAGGACATACACAGGGCCCAGAGACATATGACAGGATGCTCAGCATCACTAGCCATAAGAGAAATGCAAATTAAAACCACAATGAGTTTCCACTTCATACCAGTCAGGAAAACCATCACAAATAAATCAACAAAGAAAAAGTGCTGGCAAGGTTGTGGAGAGAAGGGAACGCTATTATACTGTTGGGAATGCAGACTGGTGCAGCCACTGTGGAAAATAATATGTAATTTCCTCAAAAAGCTAAAAATGGAACTGCCTTTTGACCCAGCATGTCCATTGCTGGGATTACACCCTAAGAATACCAAAACACCAATTCAAAAGAACCTATGCACCCCAATGTCCATAGCATTTACAATATCCAAGTTTTGGGAGCAATGTAAGTGTCCATCAGTAAATGAATGGATCAAAAAACAATGGTACATTTACACAATGGAATACTATGCAGCAGAAAGAAAGAGTTGCTACCCTTCATGACAGCATGGATGGAACTGGAGAGCATTATGTTAAGTGAAATTAACCAGGCAGTAAAAGACAAATACCATATGATCTCACCTATAAGTGGAACCTAATCAACAAAACAAACAAGCAAGCAAAATATAACTGGAGACATTGAAATAAAGAAGTAACAGACAGTAACCAGAGGAGCGGGGAGGATAACAGGGAAAAGAAGGGCAAGGGTCATCAAGAAACATGTATAAAGGACCCATGGACAAACCTGAAGTCGGGGAGGATTGAGGGTAGGAGGTGGCGGTGGGTGGGGCAGGGGAAAGTGATGGCAGGAAAATGAAGACAACTGTACTTGAATAATAAAAAGAAAATGAAAAAAATAATGAAAATAAAGCCACTACAGAAACACAAAGGGTGTGTGACTGTGGAAGGGGATGGTGATTGTTCTGTATTGTTGCTGTTGTAAGCAGAATCTCCTCATTGAAACTTTCATTGTGTGAACTATCAAAACAAAACAAACAAACAAAAAACACGAACCTGGAAATAGTCTTGGTAGAAATTCACAAAGATTTCTGAAATTGGGCAAATGTCTTATAACTTTGGTCTTAAATTATTTCATGTCATGTGTTAAAGTCTTCTATAAATAGAAATCTTCATCTGATCTTATTTGCCATAAAACTCAAAGGCAGCGATTTTCAACTGATGTGCCACAAGAATTTTTAAAATATGCAATACCTGACTATTTGGTCAAGAGTACCCACCTCCTTTCCTTTAGGTTGTCAAATTAAAAAAAAAAAAAATAGAACAACCAACAATAGCCATCCGGTGTGAATGAGTCAGCATTACACATTTTTTGTCAGATGGGCAAAAAATATGTATTTTTGACGTGTGCAGAATTCCAGTAATTAGTTTTTGTGTGCCATGAGGTAAAATGTTTTGAAAATCAGTGTTCTAAAGGAAAGAAAGTTAGAATATGGGGTACTAAATCTATAGATTGTAATCTGTTTAATTTCTCACCATTTAATGTCAGTTCATGAAGTTTGGTAAACAATGTTTAGAAAGTGATTATTAGAGATGTCTCAGGAAATAATAGAAATGTAAAATATTTTGCTACACATTGGAAAGCAGTGTTACTGTGTCCTTATTCACATTTATTATAGTACAAATTCTTTGTTAGAAATAGGTAGAAGAACTTGGATTCCAGAAAAAATGGTTGGGCCCATCCAGAGTGTCTAAATTTTTCTTTAATTCTTGAGACTGTGTAATTGAGTCAGTTTTATTGGCAAGTAAAATGTGTTGATCTCTGGTTAATAAATTCCAATTAACTATTGATTCAATTATTCAGTAACATACTAGATACGTCTTTTTTTTTTTCCCCTCTTAATTTTGGAGCAGGTTAGTGGGGCAACTGAAGGAAATTTCTATTTCTGAAGAACTTTGATGTCATGGATTCATTTTAGCCTATGTTACACAGAGCAATAGGATATAGGGAAGATGGATTTAGACAAAGTAGGAACCTAGGACCAAGGACCATTGCACAATGTGTGAGAGTAATAATCTAAATAACATGCATGCGTACATATACACACAATTACAATCATTTTTTTTTTCAGATGGACTATGTGCTTATAAATATCACTCAGCTAGAACTGAAGGGTTTTTTTTGAGTGTCTAGCTTACAAAAGACTTAGCACTGTGTGTCATTGGGTTCTAGATTACTTATTTTGCTCAACTAATTTTTCAGTCTGTTGATGATTTATATATTTTGTGTTCTTTTTTTCACTTTGTGGTCTCCTCCTGATGGAAAATGAAGATTGCTGTGTGCACTGTATCCTGGCCTGCTTGTTCTGTGAATTCCTGACCCTCTGCAATATTGTCCTTGGGCAAGCTTCATGTGGTATCTGCACCTCAGAAGCCTGCTGCTGTTGCTGCGGGGATGAAATGGGAGATGACTGTAACTGCCCTTGTGACATGGATTGTGGCATCATGGATGCCTGTTGTGAATCATCAGACTGTTTGGAAATCTGTATGGAATGCTGTGGAATTTGTTTTCCTTCATAAATATCTTTTGTTTGTGTTAAAACTGGGGAGTGTTTTAAAAAAAATTGTTAAGGGAGAAGAAAAGCACATGGTAAGATTATCATGAAGGAAGCAACCAAGTGTTTGTTGTAAATTAACATATGTTAAATGTTAATTTAACATATTTAAATTAATCTCTGAAAGCTTTTTTCCCCTCTAACCAAATCTGCATGGTTTAATATGTGAAATTTTAACTACTTTTAAACTTCTTAATAGAAAACAATAACTAAGAGACATTTTGACCAAAAAAAGCTAAATGTCTCCCCTTTTTCATACATATTTCTGTTTCTTTTAATCATTCTCAGGAGCCTCTTTCTCCAAATGCATTATTTCTCAGTGGGTACTACAACCAGACTTTTTTTTTTAATGTGTATCTATTAATGGTTAATAGTAAATATTTTTACTTTAAACTTTGGGAAATAAATACAAACAATAGTTGGACACCCAGTGTTTATCTGCATGCTCTGTTTGCCACTTTCTCCATTTGTTCAGCAGACATTGAGTGCCTACTGTGTATCATCTCTTGCTGAGATGCTGAGATGGATGTCATTCATTTTCCAACCACAAGAGAATATATTTTAGCAGAGGAAAGAGACCTGTAAAATATGAACCACAAGGCATACCAAAGTGAAGATTATGAGAGACTCAAAAGGCTATATGAATAAACAGAAAAGAACAGTTGGAATATAGTATCTGTTGGAATATTCAAAAGTCTTTAAGAAGAATGTGACATTTGAGGAATGCTCTTGATTCATCTGCTGCTTGAATGATTATTTAGATTTAGAACAAAGTTTTAGGTGAATAACCTGAACTGTGTGTGCCCTTAAGGGAAAATACAGTATAAAAAAATGCCTTAAGTATGTATTTTCTTTAGTTGTAGGACTGTAGCTTTAAAAAAAACTATAAAATTTAACTAAAAATATGCATTTTGTACAGATAATTTAAAAGTTATAATAAAGTTTTAGATAAAAACATAAGTCCTTATTAAATGAGCTATATTTTATAAGAAATGTGAAATGGTTTTAACAAATTGCATTTAAATTAGGATTTTAATGTTACAGTACTAATATTTTGATTTTGTTGTATTCAAAAGCTTTTTTTTTAAATTTGAGGACTGTCTGTATTTTTTTAAGTGGGAGGTTGTATGTTTTCATTTGTGTTTTAAGCAATGTTATGTTTCATAAACACAGTTAATCTTCAATACAAGCCATTCCAAGCAGTGGTAGTCTCAACATTCACTACTGTGACTAAATTTCAGTATTGCAATTTTATGATAAATTGCATTAATATGACATGTTATAAAACCTTAAGTGTACAAAAATAAGTCAATTACACAACTAACAATTTGGTTATTGAGATACTGCGAGACTTTGTATTACAGAGATAAAAGGAAGAGGAGATTTTCACACTCTGCTCTGCTAAGTTCGATCTTTCCAAAGCTGTAGTTTGGTTTGATTTAATGTAATATCTTGTAGAAATGTTGAAAATACACTCTAGATTAATACTTTTAATTTTTCTTGTTGAATAATCAAGTTAATTGTGAAAACAAATGTATTTTCATTTTAGGGAGCTTTTATCAAACCTAGCCTTTTAAGAGAGGTTTTAAATCTAAAGCATGACAATGACAACTGTCGTTTTTTTCTTTGAGATGAGACCCAGTTTCTGCTTACATCTTTACTTAAAGGGTTTAAAACAAAGTTAGCAAATTCTTGAATACCCTGCTTATACACACACACTCAACTTTAAATTATCTGGCTTAAATAGAATTGTAGTGAACATCTCTCTTTCTGTTCCTTGTCTAAGAATGTGTTTCATTTGTTACATCAAATATTAGAGCATCTTTGTACTATTTCGTAGTAACCACAATCTGAAATATTTACCTCTACCCAGCATTACCTTAGGTGTATATATCAGGAAGAGTGTCAACCGTGTATTGACATATAAAGCCCTCTAGTGGACCTGAAATTGTTAAACGGTTTCACTTTTTTATCATGCAAAAATTTTCAACTAAATCATTTATCTTATATTTAAATATATTCTACTACTATCCATTATAAAAATATTAGCACTTTTAAATAATGTATCTCTGTAAGAGAGAACACTAATAGAATTTTTATTTTCATACTTGTACCCATAGTATTTTTCCTGTATTGTCTACTTTGCAGTCATTCCATAAAAGAACCTTGTATTGTTTTTTTACTTAAATGAAAAAAAAATTAGAGTAGGCAAATGTAAAAATAGTTACAATTTATTTTAGAATTTCTGTGTAGAATGTTTTGTTGAATTATATGGCCATCTTGTCTAAGTGCTGTAGTTTACAGTTATAGATTTGGTCTCTTTTTAAATATGTAAACTTAATCTTAAATATTTTTAAACTCAACTTGTATGATGCTGAATACAGTATTTTGAAATAAAAGAAAAATGACCTCTCGTGCTTTCTAGAATATTTTCTAGATATGTACTATGTAGTTGATATTTGAACAAATTCAACTATAATTTTAAAACCTGAGGCTTTTACCTAGTTACTTCCCTTTTTGAAGTTTTTGTAGTCTCCTTATGTAAATCACATGACTCAACACCCATAATGAACTTGAAAGATTCAGATTAGTTTATATTGCAAATCACAGCTGGCATGATTTCAAAACAAAATGTTTTTAAAAATATTTATAATAAGTCAAAATTTAAGTTTTGTACCCTTTTTTAGTAGCTTGTTTTCATTTATTTGCTTTGGAATTATCTCCTAACTTATAAAAATTAAGGTAATTTAAAAAATATTTTATTGATTATTCTATTACAGTTGTCCCAGTTTTTCCCAATTTGCTCCCCTCCACCCAGTATCCTCCTTCCCTCCAGCAACCCCCTTCCCCCCGCCCCTGCCCCTTAGTGCGTGGCCCTGAGTCATGCATATAAGTTCTTCAGCTTCTCCATTTCCTGCACTATTCTTAATACCCCCCTTCTATCTTGTACCTATAATTATACTTCTTAATCCCTGCATCTTTTACTCCATTCTCCCCCTTGCCCTCCCAGCTGGTAATCCTCCATATGATCTCCATATCTATGATTCTGTTTCTGTTCTGGTTGTTTGTTGTTTTCAAATTCAGTTGTTGATAAGTGAACTGATTTCCATTCTGATGTTCAGAATTTTCATCTTCTTTTTCTTAAGTTCCTTTATCATTTTATGTAATAACAGCTTGGTGGTGATGAATCCCTTTAGCTTTACCTTCTCTGGGAAGCATTTTATCTGCCCTTCCATTCTAAATGATAGCTTTGCTGGATAGCATAATCTAGGTTGTGGGTCCTTCCTTTTCATCACTTTGAATACTTCTTGCCAGACCCTTCTAACCTGCAAAGTTTCTTTTGAGAAATCAGCGGACAGTCTTACAGAAACTCCTTTGTAGGTAACTCTTCTCTTGCTTTTAAGATTCTTTAGCCTTTGGTATTTTAATTATGATGTGTCTTGGTGTGGTCCCCTTTGGGTCCAACTTGTTTGAGACTCTCTGTGCTTTCTGGACTTGTATGTATATTTCTTTCACCAAACGAAGGAAGTTTTCTTTCATTATTTTGTCAAATAACCTTTCAATTTCTTGCTCTTCCACTTCTCTCTCTGGCACCCCTATGATTCGGATGTTGGTAGGTTTGGAGATGTCCCATGGGCTCCTTATACTGTCTTCATTTTTTTGAAATTTTTTTCTTCTTGCTGTCTGGTTGAATGCTTAATACTTCTTTATGTTTGAAATTGTTGATTTGAATCCTGGCTTCATTCCCTTAGCTGCTGGTTCCCTGCAGATTTTTCTTTATTTCACTTAATGTAACTTTCATTTCTTCCTGGGTCTTTTTTTATCTGTTGCCATACTCAATGAGTTCTTTGAGTATCCTGATCATCAGTGTTTTGAACTCTACATCTGATAGGTTGGTTATCTCTCTTTCAATTTAGATCTTTTTCTGGGATTTTCTTCTGTTCTTTCACTTGGGCCATATTTATTTGTCTCCTCAATGTGTCAGCCTCTCTGTGTTTGTTTCTGTGTGTTAGGTAGAGCTGCTTTGACTCCCTGTCTTAGTAGCGTGGTCTATTGTAGAATAGGCACCTGCAAGTTATGTGGGTGGAGCCTTAAGTAATTGCCAGGGCAGAGCAACCTGCTCTACCATTTTGTGGCTCTTTGTAGGTGAGAGGGCTCGGAGAGGGAATAGGACCACTGTCTGGCTTCTGGAGGTTTGCCTAGCACTCACCCCCTTTCTAGTCACTTCACCCGTGCCAGTATTCAACTGGAGACTTTTCTGTGGTTTCCCCAGTGCTAAATCCAAGAGTGGGTGTGTTTGTGTACATTCTAAGACTGTGTGGGCCCTTTAAGAGGAGTCTCCTGAAACTGGCATTTCTTTCTGCCACCCCAACCACCACTGGTTTTTATAGTCAGAAGTTATGGGATTTATCTCCTTGGTTATGGAACCCTGGTTTGTGTGGTCTGGCCTGGGGCTGGGATCACTGGCTCCCAAGGTATATCCCTCCTGATTTTTATTCACCCCTGTGAATGTGGGACCGCCCTTTCTGCTACTGCTCCCACCTCACCATGCCACATCATGTTTCCTTGTGTCTCTGTCTGTCATGATGTCTCCCTGCCTCCTACCTATTTGGATGAATGTGGCTTCTTTAAATCCTTGATTGTTGGACTTCTGTACAGTTCAATTTTCTGACAATTTTGTCTGTTATTTGTTTTGAGGTTTAATAGTAGATCTATGTCTGCATGAGGTGAAATCTACCTATGCCTCCATGTTGAGCAGAAGTCTGAGATAATTTTTTATATGTTCTTAGATTAAACATGAAAGATCTATGAAATTAGGTGTTAGATTTAATAAATTTCACCCAAAAGCAAGTCATTAGAAGTATTTTCATCTAGGCTTATTGGTTGGCACAATTTTTAAGTAGTAGGAATGTTTTTACAGTTAGTACTTAACCCACCTCATCACTTTATTTAGATCTTTTTATTTCTCAATATAGTAATTTCATTTTTTGTGTTCTTACAGTGTCTCAACTATATCTATTTTTCTCACCTATAGTAGTCAGTGTTTCTCTGAACAGTTCAAGGAGTAACCAAGGTAACCTTATATAATGATGCTCCATTCTTTATCTATACAAACTATCAGTGCCCTAGATTCCCATGCTATAAATGTCAGTCTGTGTCTAACATAAATAAGACTCAAGTCCAGAGGCTTTGTGGCTTACCTTCTGTAATTCCATTTCAAATGCTTTGATTTACCCAACCACCTAATAAATGTTTGTTAATAAGATTATTTTTCAAATTATTCAAGACTATGCCCTTTCCAATTACTTGTGATTTGTGGGCCTGTAGTTTTGTTACATCTAATCTGACAGGCAAGATAAAATTGCATCAAATACTAAAATAACATTTTTCTCTTTTACACTAATGTAATAAAGCATATCATTTTTTTTTTGTTTTCAAAGGTGGTTAATATATTGATAGGTTAATGCCACACTTAATATTTTTAAATCAAAGATTAGACACTACAAAGAGAGTCCTTTTAACCATTTTCATTCCCCACTATAACCAGTAACTTTTTAGTGACTTTTTTCTAGGTACCTCAAGAGAGTCATATAACACTCAGGAAGTTTCAACCTAGGAAAGAAGTTTGGCACTTCCTATGAGAAAAATCTTAGTTTCAATAGTGACTACTAATATTTACTTGCTTATTTAAGATTTCATGTAGAGATTTTGGTTAAAATGGAAGGGATTGTGGAGAA